AAACCCTAAACCCTGAACCCTCAAACCCTAAATCCTAAATCTTAAACCCGGAATTCAGACATCTGCTCGGGCTGGACCAGCTTTTTATTGGTGAGGCGACTGTAGTCCATAAGGGCGACGTAGGTCAACGTCAACTTTTGCTGAACATCCCGCACGACTTTCTCGTAAAGCGTAAACCCCACAACCCCCCGAGTCTTGGGGCCTAAGCCCTAAACCCTAAACCCTAAACTCTAAACCCTAAACCCTAAACCCCTTTTGGCTTTTCTGCGGTGCTGAGGCGCCTTGCGGCATAGAAGGCCACGTAGCGCGTCCAACCCAGCCGCGCGCTGATGTTGAGGAGGAGAGTCAGAAACATGGTTCCTCGGAGTCGATAGGGTTTAGGGTTTAGGGTTTAGGGTTTAGGGTTTAGGGTTTAGGGTTTAGGGTTTAGGGTTTAGGGTTTAGGGTTTAGGGTTTAGGGTTTAGGGTTAAAGGTTTAGGGCTTAGGGTTTGGGGCTGTGCACTGGGATGTTCCCCCTTATACTAACAGTCCTTAATAGGGCTTGTAAGAGGGGTACTACAATCCCCATACCCCAAAAGGTATACTAAAGGGAATCCGAGCTCTCATCTTCCTTAAACCATACCTGTAGGCTTGTGGTGTGGGGTCATGCTTTTGCCTTGGGATGCGCGGGGCCACCTCATCTTGGCCAATCTTGGCATCCAGTTTGGGCCTTGTTTTATCTGTGACATACTTCTCGTTGTGAGAGGAAGGTTTGTTCATGTTTCTTTATTATTACTATTATCATCATTATTATTGTTGTTTGTTTATGTTTTTTTTGTTGGGTGTGTGTGTGTGCTATATTTGGGGTATCATTACCAGGCATTACGGCTTGTGCTCTGGGATTATTCTGGGGAGCGGGAGCGGAAGTCCGGGTCTCACGTCTGTGCCATGTGTTGCACGAGAACGTCACAACCCAAGCTGTTGGCTTAGGGTTTCGGGTTTCGGGCTTAGGGTTTCGGGTTTCGGGTTTAGAGTTTAAAGGCGTTCAGGGTATAGGGTAACCATGGACGGCGACGCAAGAAGTTGTGTGAATCCGAGATTATCCAGTTCCGCCAGGGCGGCTTCCAAAGGGTTTAGGGTTTAGGGTTTAGGGTTTAGGGTTTAGGGTTTGAGGGGGTGCTTCAACGCAATGGCGGGTGAGATCTTCCCACTTCTAGTCTTTCAGCAGCAAGAGGCCCCTCCGCTTTGAGAATACGACTTCCCGCTTCGAGCTGAAGACTACAGAGGGAGACATCCCAGGCTTTAGGGTTTAGGGTTTGGGGTTGAGGGTTTAGGGTTTTAGGGTTTTAGGGTTTAGGGTTTAGGGTTTAGGGTTTAGGGTGTTAGGGTTAGGACTTCTCAACCCAACCCCCAAAAAACTATCAAGACTCTTCGAGCCCACTGCCAAAACCCCACGGTCAGTCCCCACCCCCCCCCCCCCCCCAAAAAAAAAAAAAAAAAAAAGGATGCAAGCCCAAAAACAAGATCGTAAAGACCAAAAACCCAACCCCGAAATGCTAAACCAGCCCAACGCTCCAAACACCCCCGAAACCCTAAACCCTAAAAAGCCTAAAAACCCTAAACACCCTAAAATCCCTATAAACCCTATAAACCCTATAAACCAGAAAACCCTGTAAACCCCATAAACCCTAAATGGACAACTTCATGGACCCGGCGTCCGACCCAGTAGTAGCGGTTGCTAATGACGGCTCCAGCAAAGGTGGCAGCTAAACCTTGCGAGGGCTTTGGGGCATATTGAGAGGTGTTTAGGGTTTAGGGTTTAGGGTTTAGGGTTAGGGTTTAGGGTTTAGGGTTTAGGGTTTAAGGTTTAGGGTTTAGGGTTTAGGGTTTAGGGTTTAGGGTTTAGGGTTTCGGGTTTCGGGTTTCGGGTTTCGGGGTTTGGGGTTAGTAAAGGGCTGAGGGTCGAGGGCCTGTTTAGGGAGTCTAGGGTATCTAGGGTACAGAGTTTAAAGATCTGGGGTTTCCTGGACTAACGCTCTGAACTAGAGGCACGTTGCCAACCCTCAAGCAAACACTTATCTGTCCAAGAGCCGCATGGTTTTGGTCATCTTGGGTAGGATTTAGAATTTGGGGCTTGCGGTTGTGGATGTCGGGTGTACAGGGTGGGGCCCCCTTACTATACTAACTGTAGTTAAGGGACTTATAACCTAAATTAGGGTCCTTATAACCCAATTTAGGGCCCTTATAACTCTACTTATAACTAGGGGGCCCCACCCTGTAGGAGTTGGGAGGAAAGCACCAAAGATGGATAGCATGCCCAGTGCCGCTGATAGGGTTTAGGGTTTCGAGTTTAGGGTTTAGGGGTTTAGGGTCTGAGGTGAAGGTGTTGGGTGGAGCATAATGATGTGGTAAGTGTACTCGTGGGCGTCCTAACCTCCAGGCCACAGTGGAGTACGCAGACACCCTCACGTCTAGTACCTAAGCCCTAAACCCTATGTTCTCAGCTCACATATAGCCATCTTAAAATCCTTCTGGGATTCGTTTGGTCCCCCAGGTTTGGGGACAGCTCAGCCTGTAGTGCTGAAATTGGACATGGATCATCAGGGTACTCAACCCTAAACCCCGAAGCCTAAACCAAAACCCTAAGACCCTAAGATGCTAAGACCCTAAGACCCCAAGACCCTAAGACCCTAAGACCCCAAGACCCTAAGACCCTAAAGCCTGGACCCTAAACCCTAGACCCTAAACCCCAAACCCCAAACCCTAAACCCCAAACCCTAAAACCTAAACCCCAAACCCTAAACCCTAAAGCCCAAATCCAACTGAAGACGTGGAGCGCGCTGCTTCGGCGAAGCCATGCGGCGCCAGTACCTGAAGCCGCAGCCTCTCTACGACCCAAGCCCTGGCGTTCGGGTTCGCCACGATTCCTAAACCTTAGAAACCCTAAACCATAAGGCCTAAACCCTAAACCTTAGAAACCCTAGACCCTAAGCCCTAAACTAGGCCCTAAACTACTAAACCCTAAACCCTAATTTGTTACCACTACTAGGCGGCGCGCTTGCATTTGATCGCGGGTGAGTTTTTTTGATTGAAGCCAACAAATTCATGGACAGCGTGAAAACATGACAGAAACCGGGTGCTTTTCGGCTCGCGGAGGCATCAAGAAACGGACGCAGAAAGTGCAGGTTGCGCAAAAGTCCTGCAGACTGCGTGCAACTACTTGACGAAAAGGAGCAGCATCCCTAAACCGTAAACCCTAAACCCTAAACCCTAAACCCAAACCCTAAACCCTAAACCCCAAACCCCAAGCCCTAAACCCTAAACCCCTGTTGCGAAGCTGCATTTTGGCTTTTGTTGCTTTGGCACCCCGAGGATTGCAGGCACTAGGGCTTAGAGCTTTTGCTGTCGCGCTGGGGCTTTAGGGTTTAGGGTTTAGGGTTTAGCGTTTAGGGTTTAGGGTTTAGGGCTTAGGGCTACAAGTAGGGGCCCCCCTTACTATGGTAACTTTAGCTAAGGGAATTATGACCTGAACAGTAGGACTTGTATCCCAATTAAGCGTCCTTAGAACCCTACTGATAGCATAAGGAGGCTTCAGGCAAAAGTTTCGTCGTCTTCCTGCCAGAGACGAAACAGGCTTAAAGCTTATAAGGTTGAAAACTTGAGGGTTTAGGGGTTTAGGGTTAAGGGTTTAGGGTCAGAGCTTAGAGCTTAGGGTTTGAGTCATGGCAGGGGTATACACCTCGCCTTGGACCCTTCGGGGAAACGAGCAGAAGTCCACTAAACCCTAAACCCTGAACCCGAAACCCTGAACCCTAGACCCTGAACCCGAGTTTCAAGGAACCATGGTCGTGACGGTGATGAAGAACTGGTCACCAGGGACCTGCTCTAGGCCTGCCGATTTCGGGCTTAGGGTTGAGGGCTTAAAGTTTAGGCTTTAGGGTTTAGGGTTTAATTTTAGGGTTTAGGGTTTAGGGTTTAGGGCTTAGGGGTTTCGTGGACTTGGGGTTAGGGTTGAGGGCTTAAGATTTAGGGAGGGGGGGTTCAAAGGGGGGTTCTAACCCCAGGTGCCCTGAACTCCCCACTACTCCCTGAGGCCCCCTAAGCTGCCCCAAGGTTCCCTAAACCCTAAACCCTAAACCCTAAACCCTAAACCCTAAACCCTAAACCCTAAACCCTAAACCCTAAACCCTAAACCCTAAACCCTAAACCCTAAAGCCCTTTCCCTTGAGGTGTAAGGTTTAGGGCTTAGGGGAGTCTAAGCTCCCCAACCCCTAACTCATCTAAACCCTATAGAGAAACCCTAGACGTCCTAGAAACAAAACATCCCAGAAGCCCCATAAGTGTAAGGTTTAGGGTTTAGGGTTTAGGGTTTAGGGTTTAGGGTTTAGGGCTTAGGGAAAAAAAAACATCCCATGAGCCCCAGAAGTGTATATCTAGTTTGCCCAGTAACCAAGGATTGAAAAGGGGTTTATAGGGGAACCTAGAGCGCCCAAAAAGGGAATAAGGGCACTACTAGGCATCCTAGATATAATCCCTATAACCCTTCTAAGTTGCAAGAACAACACAACTACACATGCTTGGAACATGAAAGCCAAGCCCAAATAGCCCTTAAGCCCACAACCTACAACCAAACCCTAAACCCTAAACCCTAAACCCTAAACCCTAAACCCTAATGTTAAACCGACAGGTTCCCATGTTCACTTGTGCTGTCCAACATGTCTTCATCCTCGCCGGCCCTTCCGACAGCTCCGAGGTGGGAGGGAGAGGCTAGAGCTTGACCAAAACTGCACGGGGTGCAGTGGAGGGCTACATTCAGGGCTGGGTCCTCATAGGGGTCTGTGGACAGACCATAGGGTTACTTAGGTCAGGGTGCCTCTTTCGACATTGCTTAGGCCGACAGGACCGGGCTTAGGCATAGGGGTTTCACATTGGTAGCGGAGCCCGGCCTGTCGCTAGCTAGGAGTTAGTGTAAACAGGGGGTTCCAGGGAGTTTTTTATTTGATGGGAGTGGCGCGGCGCCATGGCGCAAGCTTCAGAAGGAACGGCTGAAGCAGCGGCAGGAGCCACCGGAGGTGTGAGCCATCTCCCGTGGCAGCAGGTCCCGAAGTTTACGCCAGGGGTGACAAGCGTGGACGAGTACTCTCAACGGCTTCGCTTTCTCAAAGAGTTGTGGCCAGCCGAGCATCTGTCGTTGTTGGCTCCCCGGGCAGCCCTCTTGGTGGAGGGGGCCGCCTTCCAAAAGGTGAGCCGGATCAAGCCCGAGCAGTTGCGAGGACCTGATGGTGTGAAGTACCTTGTGGAGTCGCTGGGCGGGTCTTGGGGAAAGACCACAGTGGAGGAGCGATACCACTTCTTTGAGCAGGCCATCTTTCAGACGCAACAGAAGGCGGACGAGAGTAACGATTCGTACATTGCCAGACACGACGCTTTCTTTGAGGAACTCTTGAGCCGTGGGGTGACCCTTGAAGAGATCCGCGCCTATGTTCTTCTCCGTCATTCCTTGTTGGCCCCGGAGGACAAGAAGCGTGTGATCGTGGAAGCCAAGGGCGACTTGAAGTACCAAGAAACGGTCCGAGCAGTGCGGCTCTTGGGGTCCAAGTTCTTCACAGACTTTCAGAACCGTAGTGGCCCGGGAAATGCCAAGGCAATGGATCGAAGCAAGGTCTACGACATCCACATGACGACAGACGACGACACCTTTGAGGAAGTGCACATGGCGATGGGACAGGACGAGGACCTCAGCGATGAGCTCATCCTGGCTCACTTCCTTGAGGCCAATGACGAGGACGCCATCTACATCACGGAGTTTGAAGATCAGATAGTGGAGGCGGTGCAGGAGAGTGAGTTGGCCCCAGTCTTTGCCTCGTACCAAGAAGCTCGTCAAAAGCTGCGGGACAAAGCAAAGTCCAGGGGGTTCTGGCCCATCAAGGGCAAGATGAAGGGGAAGGGCCAGTCCGGGAAGAGAGGCAAGGGTTATGGTTCCTGGGATGGGGGCCGTCGACGTTCCCTTGCAGATCGGATCGCCAACTCCAACTGCAAACAATGTGGGGCCAAAGGGCACTGGAAGCGGGAGTGCCCGAAGAACGACGCTAAGCCAGAGGCGACCTTGTTTGCCCAGATCCAGCCGACCGATCCCTTCCAATCGGAGGTTCTCCAGACCCTGCCAGACTCCGAGCCCTTCAACATCGATGAGGACGACAGCGCATGGACACAGAGAGGGGTTAGCACAGGGACAGGGAATACTGGAGTAATTCAGGACTTCGGGGAGACTTGCTTTATGGTTGCGCCAAAGGTGGGGCCTTCTTTGTCTCTCGAGTCTTGCCTTGCACGACGTTTGTTAATGATTCACAGGACATGTAGGACGCCAAGCTGTGCGCCGCCGGGTGCATCTTCTGAGGCGCAAGGGCCGGCAACCGCGCCGAAGCAGGCAGTTTTGAGACGCAGCAAGCCCAGTCCCATAATTCCTGAAGCAATTCTAGTAGCCACTGTAGGTACTGAGGGGGTGCTAGATACAGGGGCCAGTAGGACTGTGCTAGGAGACCAAAGGGTTCGAGAAGTGATAAGCGGTCTTGCTGCAGAGTGTCGCGGTCGAGTAAGGAAGATAGCTTCTGATGTCACCTTCCGTTTTGGAAACAGCGGGACACTCACGTCAAAATTTGCGCTGCTGCTGCCCACCTCAGAAGACACATGGGTCAGAGTTGAGGTGATCCCCGGAAACACTCCTTTGTTGATATCAAATCGTCTTCTCAGGGACCTAGACGCAGTTATTCATGTTAAAGAGGGGTATTTAATGCTGGGTGGTTCTAGGAGACCTTAGATGGGATGAGCGAGGCCTATCCATAGTCAATCTGTCAGATCTCCTTCACGTCGGGGACAGGAAGGCTCCTGTCTACGTTGTTGACAGTCTGGGGGCGCACCCGCGTCCAGAAGCCTCCTCGGGAACACCAGCCAACAGTCCAGTCCCCAGTCCCCCAGAAGATGTTTCCGTTCCACCAGAATCAGCAAAGCAGCGTTTCCAGGAACCACAGAACACAACACGGCAGCCTGAGCTCAAGCAGACAGCACGAATCTTCGAATATCCTTCTCCTTCGCCGAGCGGCTTCCAACCGAGCGATGCCCACCTCAGTCAAGCAGTCCGTGAAGAAGCTCCAAGAGAAGATGCCCGAGGTCAATCTGGACGAACCTCTCTCCGCGGAGGAGGATGTGCACCTGGCCGAGGAACAGCTGACCATGGTAAAGTACTTGGAGGTGGAAGTTGTCCGCCCACCGGGGATTGCGAATCTTCGGGAATGGGGCCAAGTGGTGATCGCGGCTGGCAAGCACAAAGGAAAGAGTCACGAGAAAACGTTCGAGACCGACCTGTCCTACTCGATCCTCATGGCTCGGAAGTCTTCTCTCAGCAGCCCATGGGCACTGTCGTTCAAGAACTATGCCCTGATGCGACTGAAGCAGATGGCCAAGACGGAGCAGGCGAGGTCCACGACCAAGGCGGAGGCAAAGAACATCAAGTCCCAGGGTCCAGCCGTCATGGACGGAGAGGAGAGCGATGGGTGGAAGCTCTGCTCGCCGGATGCCACATCCCAGCTGCACCGAGCCGGGGCAGCAAGAGGAACAGTCAGCCGGGGGCAAGCTCGCAGATGCCCATTGCCATGTCGCCGGAGGAGATCATGACGCGCCGGGCCGTGCTCGAAAGAGAGCTGACGAGGCTTCGGGAGATCGAAGATGCCGACAAGGAGTGAGGGTTGATCCAAGCATGGAGACGGACGCAAGCAATCAAGGGAGGCATGGCAAGGTTCAACAAATGTGTGCACAAATAGACAAGTACATCCTGCAAATCGAAGAACAACTTGGTGATGCAGTGAGAAATTCGGTGTGCCAGTACCGTCTGCCCTCCCTTGATGTCATCGAAATCGGTAGTGGGGCCATTTGCGCAGCCGTTCAGAGATGTGGCGGGAGAGCTTTAACACTTTCTCCGGCAAAGCTTGGGAGCGCTCGGGGTATGTATGATCGCCTCTGGAAGCTGATCTCAATGTATGAGCCGACACATCTCTGGTTGGATTTGCAGCAGCCGTGGAACCACAAAACAGACAAGGGCAAAAAGACACCATGGCCAGGACAGTTTCTTCTTGACCTTTATCGCTACCAAACAGAACGAGGCAAGCACATACATTTCCTGTGTGGCCAGGGTTTCTTTGAGCAAATGGCGCCTCAACTCCAAGAGGTTCAACAGGGCACTTTGCGAATGATTCATGAGCTGGAAGTGGGAGACACACCGCCAGGAAACAACCATCTCCGCAAAGCCACCACACTGTACACCACGTCCAGACGACTGCAGCAAAGTGTCGACACTCGCTTTCAGACAGCGGGTCCAGATCCCAGTGGGCGAAGCAACCGCATGTTCCCACGAGAGAGGCGTCTTGCCAAACGGGTAGCCTTGCACCTAGGTCAGGACTTAGGGTTTCCTCTGCCTTTAGAAGAGCTGTTGTTTAATGTTGAAAAGCGGGGAGTCTCTAACTCTGACATTACTGCCGCCCAGCAAGTTTTGAAGCGCCGAAGACTGTTTGGAAAACAGCCAGGGCCGACAATCTCTGGAAGCGAGGCTCCTAGGATAAGTTGGGATACAGTTTTTCGAGATGTTAACGCGAGGGTTCCGAAAGGGGGAAAGGTAGGGTTTTCAGAAGGGGACCCGGTAGTCCAACAAGTTCAAGCACTGCTTCCACAGATTGTTGTGCAACATGTCGTCTGCTGTCGAGGCACCAACCGGATACAGCCACCTTGTGTGGAGGGAATGCCGCGGGACATGCCTTTACGTCAGACGGTTGTGGTAAAAAGGGTTGGTGGTGAAATAGCTATGGATGGTGAGATAGAGGATTGGTCCCAGGTTCCACGATATAAACAGATGCGTAAAGGCATTCCTGCAAAACTCAGTCTCACAGCTTACGGCATGTCACCTGAAAGGTAACAGTGATTACTGGCGTCTAAAGCTGCAAACTGTAGGTGTGTGCGCCAATGTTTCTGCGGGAGAGGCTCATTGGCAACTCGGTAGGACGGAAGCTCATGGTAGGATACTGAAGAGCATGCTTTCTAAAATGGACCATGAAGAGCCCATCCTGAACGACGAAGATTTTCGTCGGTGTCTGAGAGCGGCAGTGCAGGCTAAGAACAGCTTGAGTAGGGTCCGGGGCTTCACACCTGAACAGGCAGTCCTGGGTAAACTTTCGCGGCTGCCAGCCTCTCTGATTTCCGACAATAGTGCCACGTGCCATGCTTTAGCCGACAGTGATCTGCCAGAAGGAGTCTCCTTCAGGAGGGACCTGCAGCGCCGTGAACAGGCCAGAGTCGCATTCATACATGCAGACAACGACAACTCGTACCGTAGGGCTCTACTTCGTCGTTCGAGGCATCCCTGTGAAAGATATGAGCCGGGCGATTGGGTTCTGTACTGGCGCCGACATAAAGCCGGGAGTCGTGCGGAGCAAGGAAGGTGGTATGGGCCGGGTCAGGTAATTTGTGGGGATAGCAAGGTAGTGTGGGTGAGCCACTGTGGGCAATTGATCCGTGCAGCTCCTGAGCAGCTGCGATCCGCGTCCTTGAGAGAATGGCAAGGGGTGCTGGGAAAGACCAGTGCTGAGAGTTCACAAGGGGCAGTAGGTCAAGGGGTTAGAAGGGTGGTCGACCTTGCTGTTCTCGGAGGAACACCTAGCCGAGCAGAAGTGGAGAGCCAGGGCGAGGTTCCGCAGGATGTTCCCGAACCATTAGGACCCATAGCCCCAGAAGGAGTAGCTGGGATAGAAGCCGGGGGTACGGTTCCTGAAGTTCCTGAAGAAAATGCGGAGGGAGAACAGCCAGAGATGGAAGTCTCACCTGTGCCGTCGGTAGGTCTCGAGACAGATATGGTAGATGCTTCGAACATTCCTGTGCCTGAAGATGACGAAGACGACCTCTTGTTTGGAGACAGTGAGTGTTTTTTCGCACATCCCACACAGTCACAGGCATGGGAAATCAGTTTGCATGAAACGGAGGTGCCTTTCGAAAACCTCCCGACGCCGCAGCAAGCTTTGCATTTTGTAATGTTAGCCACCGAGGCACGCAAGAAACGAGTTGAAGTAAGATTGAGGGACTTGAACGAGGGTGAGAGGCAACAGTTCGTAGAAGCTAAGGGCAAGGAGATTCGAGCCTGGCTTGACCACAGGACTGTACGTAAAGTAGCTGCGGGAACCCTTGATGATAGTCAACTCATGCGTTGCCGCTGGCTTCTCACATGGAAAGGTCCCGAGAAGGATGGAGGGCCGAAACGGGCCAAAGCTAGGCTAGTGGTGCTTGGGTTTGAAGACCCAGACATTGCTGATATCCCTAATGACGCTCCTACTTTAGGTAAGGACGCCCGACAACTCATCCTTCAGAAGGTGGCCAGTAACCGTTGGAAACTGATCAACTTCGATGTGTCCACTGCTTTTCTGCAGGGGGAGGGGGATGGTAGAAAGCTAGGCATAAGACCACCTGAAGAGTTAAGAAGAGCCCTCAACATGCAGGCGCAGGAACAATGCCAGCTCGAAGGCGGCGCTTACGGCAGAATCGATGCTCCGTTTTTGTGGTTTCAGACATTTAAGAAGACACTTGAAGAGCTTGGTTTTGTGCAAAGCCCTTTCGATGCCTGTGCTTTCAGCCTCGTTTCACAAAGGGCCGATGGTAGTGCTCAGGTTCATGGTGTTCTGGGAATACACGTAGATGACGGGATTGGGGGAGGTGATGAGTATTTTCGGAGGGTCATAGATCGGTTGCGGGGTATCTACAGCTTTGGGTCGTATGATGAGGGCGAGTTCACGTTCACCGGGATTCGTTTTCGCCAATGGGACGATGGGAGCATTGAAATGGACCAAGAGAGGTACATAGAGAAGATCGTGCCCATACATGTGTCCCGAGAGCGTAGAGTGAATCCCGCCGCGATGTTGAACCCTGAAGAACTTAAAGAGCTGAGACGCCTCAACGGTAGCCTCCAGTATGCTGCAGTGCATTCTCGACCCGACCTAGCTGCAAAGGTAGGCTACTTACAGACAAGGGTCAACAAGGGCCAGGTTCAGCATCTTCTGGAAGCTAACCGTGTCCTTCAAGAGGCCAAAGCTCACCCAATCTCTTTGATGGTTGTGCCAATTCAAGAACAGCATGTTACGTTTTGCACCTTTTCGGATGCTTCCTTCGCCACGTCGAAAGACCATAACTCGTATCAGGGTACGCTGGTGGTGGCAACAGACTGGCGAATGCTAGCCAACCGCGAAGCTGTGATCATTCCTGTGGCCTGGTCCAGTAAGAAAATCTCCAGGGTAGTAAGAAGTACATTGAGTGCTGAGGTAGTTTCTCTCTGCGGGTCCGTAGACCGAATGTCCTGGATCAGGTTGTTCTGGGAATGGTTCAAGAATCCTGCTGTTGATATCGCACATCCGGAAGAAGTCCTTTCCCACGCGCCTCAAGCTTCGTTAGTCACCGACTGTAAGAGCGCTTACGATATAGCTACGAAAACTGCTGTACCTACGTGTTCTGAACTACGCACCCAGTTGGAATGCTTGTTGCTAAGGGAGAGACTTCAAGAAAATTGCAAGATGCGCTGGGTTCATTCAAAGGCCATGTTAGCGGACTGTTTGACCAAAGTGATGGATAGTTCCGAGTTAAGACGTCACCTACGGGAGGGTTACTATGCCTTATTCGACGAACAAAAGGTTCTTGAGAATAGAGCGGGGCAGAGACAGTCGCTGCAGTGGCTACGCCAGAACTCAACCAGAGTCTCACCGGAGCACAAGTGAAGAAACTTAAAAAGTTCGTTTTCGATGAGTGTTAAACCGACAGGTTCCCATGTTCACTTGTGCTGTCCAACATGTCTTCATCCTCGCCGGCCCTTCCGACAGCTCCGAGGTGGGAGGGAGAGGCTAGAGCTTGACCAAAACTGCACGGGGTGCAGTGGAGGGCTACATTCAGGGCTGGGTCCTCATAGGGGTCTGTGGACAGACCATAGGGTTACTTAGGTCAGGGTGCCTCTTTCGACATTGCTTAGGCCGACAGGACCGGGCTTAGGCATAGGGGTTTCACACCCTAAACCCTAAACCCTAAACCCTAAACCCTAAACCCTAAACCCTAAACCCTGAACCCCAAAGACCCTAAACCCTCAGAGGTATTGGGCTCCCTGTAACCACCCTGAATAAGCCCTCTTAAGCACCGTTTGCAGGCCTTGCCTTGGGTAGAAGGGTGGCTCTCGGGCCAAAGAAGGTTTAGGGTTTAGGGTTTAGGGTTTAGGGTTGAGGGTTTAGGGTTTAGGGTTTAGGGTTTAGGGTTTAGGGTGTAGGGTTTAGGGTTTAGGGCGATTTCTCTTTCCGTAGCTTACTTCAAAGTCCGGGGGTGCGTAGACATGCTTGGGGCTTAGGGTCCCTAAACCCTAAACCCTTACAAACCCTAAACCCTAAACCTTAAACCGTAGACCCAAAACTCTAAGCCCTAAACCCTAAACCCTAAACCCCAAACCCTAAGCCCTAAAACCAGAGTTCCATGAATCGCAACGCAACTTCCCAACGCAAGATACCAGGGTTGACGATTTTCATGGCTGCCATGCCTGCTGATCTTGCTGACAAGACCAGCTTGTTGTAGAAGACACCTGGGTTTAGGGTTTAGGGCTGGATTCTCAGAGGAGCCACTGCCAGTCAAACTTCATGCGTGGCCATCAAGCACACAAGACGCTTGGGGTGGATGAATAGTCACGCGAAACCCTGGACCCGAAACCCTAAACCCTAAACCCTAAACCCTAAACCCTAAACCCCAAACCCTAGACCCTGCGAGGCGACCTCTCAGAGGTGTAAAGACCCTTCTAGCGGGCAAAGCGGCGTGAGATGAACACAGTACCAACTTCGGCCATGGCGGTCGCGCACGGGAGGAACACAGAGGCCGCAATACTCGACGTGTCGATGAGAATGGAGTACGTGAAGCCTGGGCGGCTAGGGTTTGGGGTTTAGGGTTTGGGGTTTAGGGTTTAGGGTGTAGGGTTTGGGGCTTCGGGTTTAGGGTTTGGGGTTTAGGGCTCAGGGTTTTGGGTTTAGGGGTTATGGTTTAGGGCTCAGGGTTTAGGGGTTATGGTTTAGGGCTCAGGGTTTAGGGGTTAAGGTTTAGGGTTTACGGTTTAGGCGTTTCCCCGTGATTGTGAACGGCTCCAGCCCCCCGGGTTAGCGATCTCAAATCGGGCCGACAGGGCTTCGGGGGGGTTTGTGAAGGACCCTTCATTGCACAGCAAACTTCATAAAGTTGGAACATCATCTTCCTCCTTACCCCCAACAGGTCCCCCCAAGGTCGCAGGGATACCTTAAACTTCGGGCAGCAGGCGTACAGGGATCCAGGGCCGGCCTATGATTCCCAAACCCTAAACCCTAAACCCTAAACCCTAAACGGCCCTACGCCCTGAACCCAAACGCCCAATCATAGGTCGAAGAGACCGATGAGGGCCATCAGCAGACAGCATCCGCAAGTTGAGATGAAGTGTGCAAACGTCCACTTCAAGCACGCCTGGGCCAGATTTGGGGGGTTTAGGATTTAGGGTGTAGGGTTTAGGGTTCCGGGGGATTTGGGTTTAGGGCGGTTAGAGTTAGGGTTTCTGCTTTCGAAGAGGACTTGGTTACCTTGGGTTGAGGGTGCTTCAGTTCCAAGGGGGGGGTGATAAGAACCGTAAACCCTAAACCCTAAACCCTAAACCCAGAGTAGCACTGAAGTCCAAGGTTCTTGAGCTTGCTCTTTACTTGGAGGTTCATGGTACTTATGAATCAATTGAGACCGCACTTATAACCCACTTACAAGCGCCTTAAGTGCCCTAATATGGTCATAAGTACGGTTCTAAGTACAGTTAGAATTGGTTAATAAGTACAATGGACCTCCAAGTACGGCTTGGCTGGTTCTAGCCACTGCTGGCTGTGGATTTGCTCGGTTTCGATCGTCTTGGGCCGGGATTGCCTTCACACCACTGCGTTCAGCTGACTAAGGCTACGCTGCTAGACCCTCTAAACCCTGAACACCTACTTTGTATGGCTTCCTAAACCCTAAACCCTACCCAGAGGGCCCATGTGTAGTACTTTTTATGAAAAACTAGGTACCCGAAACCATGAAAATAAACTCCCGAACCGAAAAGATGCACCATCTGGCTCATAGCCTCCAGGTCCAAGTAAAGCTTTCTATGCATTTTGCTCTTCTCTTTCTTTTGGGGGGGGGGGGGGGGCAGAAGTAGAAATAAGGTTTGCGGTCTATAGGTGTTCACCATTGGGATAGAAGCCCTAAATCATAAAACCGTGGGGCAGGAATGTAAAGGGTCGAGCAACAAAACTGTCACGAGGGTGGGAGGGGGGGGGGGGTGGCCGAAACCTTGAGCCCGCCCGGGCCTGCCCTTGACTGTTAAAGGTTAGGTTTTAGGGTTTGGGGCTTTTAGGGTTGGAGGTTGAGGATGTCGGGTATAATTCTCCAGGTGTTTCAATTCGGGCTTAGGGCTTAGGATTTTGGGTTTAGGGTTTAGAGTTTAGGGTTTAGGGTCTAGGGTCTAGGGTTTAGGGTTTAGGGTTTAGGGTTTAGGGTTTAGGGTTTAGGGTTTAGGGTTTAGGGTTTAGGGTTTAGGGTTTAGGGTTTAGGGTTTAGGGTTTAGGGTTTAGGGTTTAGGGTTTAGGGTTTAGGGTTTAGGGTTTAGGGTTTAGGGTTTAGGGTTTAGGGTTTAGGGTTTAGGGTTTAGGATTTAGGGTGATCATATGAGACGAAGGTTCAATGAACTGTCGATTCGGAAACTTCCCGCGGGTCTGCAGGTACAGCGCGAAAGGCGAGGACAGCAACCTGATGCTGAGATTTAGGGTTTAGGGTTTAGGGTTTAGGGTTTAGGGTTTAGGGTTTAGTGCTTAGGGTTTGGGGTTTAGGGTTTGGGGTTTGCGGTTTAGGGTTAGGCTTTGGGATTTGGGGTTTCGGGTTTGGGGTTTTGGGTTTGGGGTTTTGGGTATGGGGTTTCGGATCTGGGGCTTAGGGTTTAGCTTTTAGGGTTTAGGGTTTAGGCTACTGCACTGTGCTTAGGAAGTTAGGAACTAGGGCCCATAAACCCGTGTGAAAAGTATTCCTCAATATGATCCTCTTAAATCGCCGCAAGGGAAAAATACAACCTATCCAAATTTGCCCTACCTGGGGGACTCTTGGGTTAACCCCAGCCCCCACCGCCCCACCCCCATGAATGTCAGAGCCGGCAAATCAAAGACATCGAAGCAGGAAGGCATATTCTGGAACCTAAACACTAAACCCTAAAGCCTAGACCCTAAACCCTAAACCCCAAGCCCTGAACCCTAAACCCTAAACCCTAAACCCTAAACTACTTGACCCGAACCCTAAAACTGAAGCCCTAGATGCGATGTAAGGCATCGAAGTTGATGGCTGGGTAAGGGCTGGGGAAACATCATCCCACCGTCTAGGCATCAAAGGAACCTGCTTTCGGCAAATCATTTAGAGGCTTCGGGGTTTAGGGGTTTAGGGGTTTAGGGTTTAGGGTTTAGGGTGCAGTGGTTTACAGGTATGGCGGTTTGGCGTTCGTGAGGGTCAGATTTGCAAGGTCTTGGCGGACAAGCCTTGCCAGGCAGCCACGAAACAAAAGCATGAGGTAGCTATGGTACTATGGTGTAGGCGCTAAGGATTTAGGACGCGAAGCCGAAACCTCTGCAAAAAACTCCAAAGTCTAACCACCCTAAACCCTAAACCCTGAATGCAGGCACAGGCGCATTGCAAAGAGCCCTGCTAAGGCCGTATTCAGCTCTGCCAGCTGTAGTGGTGCCAGACAGGCCACTACCAGAGTACCTAAGGAGCAGAGAAGTTAGGGTCTAGGGTTTAGGGTTTAGGGTTTAGGGTTTGGGGTTTGGGGTTTGGGGTTTAGGGCGCTTGCTCCATGGAAAACCCGGTATACCCGAAAACCCAAGACATCGGCAAACAAAAAGCTGCCTCCTGGACCCCGAACACTTTAAGGGTTTAGGGGTTGGGGCTTATTGGGCTTAACCCTTAACCTTTAACCCTTAACCCTAAACCCTAAACCTAAACCCTAAGCCCTAGATTAGGACAACCTTCGAAGGGCGTCTAAAAAACACGACGGGTCGGGCAGAGGCACTGGCAATGTTACCAAGTCGACTTGTCCAGAACGTCGCTCCTCGGCTTGAAAGGAAGCTGGCAGGCTTCAGGGATGTGTTGGGTTTAGGGTGCTTAGGTAGGGTTTAGGGTTTAGGGTTTAGGGTTTAGGGTTTAGGGTTTAGGGTTTAGGGTTTAGGGTTTAGGGTTTAGGGTTTAGGGTTTAGGAAGGAAGGAAGGAAGGAATCGACCAGTGGCATACGGCCACGGCCTCCCGCACTCTTCCCCGCTGAGCATCTCGGGAGGCCTCCGCAAGCGTCATCGGCCCCCTCCGCCAGAGGTTCCAGAGGGGGTACTAGTAAAAATAAAGAAAAAAGCCGGAAGTGGCCCAAGTAGGGGGCTTGGGGACGAAAGGGGGGGTCTGGGCCGGAAGAGGGGACGTGCGAATGCGGGAGGAGGCGGAAGCCTGAAATACGTGGATGCTGACAACGAAACTGTGCCCCTTTTTTACTCGAGCGCCGGGCAGAGCGTGTCTCGCTCTAAGTAGGCGTGGCCTTCGGCACACAGTGCTCGAGAGGCTGAGAGTACGAGCCGATTGGCTGCATCGTCAGCAAGGCTGGGCTCTCTACGGCAAAGCTCCTGCTGAAGAGCAGTGACGGACGTGCCGCCGTGACGGCGTATGAAGGCCAAAGCCCACCTGCGAATGTGCTTAAGGCGGAGGGCTGGCTTGTGCACGGCCGAGGACCCGGCACCTTGCTGGCACTGTTCGGCCGCAGCACAGAGGTGCGACAGTAGCTCCTGTGAGGCTGTAGGTCGACGCCGGCGAGGGCTAGCGGCGAGAAGGCGTGCCCAAGTGCACCAACAATCCGGGCACAGCTGGAGCGCTGGGGAGGAGCTGTGGTAGGCCCGATGTGCACCAGAGTACCAGCGGCAGGATCCCCTGGGGTGAACGGTGATGTTGCAGGAAACGCATGCCGCAGGACCAGCCTGTTTGCACCAGATGCAAGGTAGGGGCACAATGGGCAGCTCCGGGAGACGCACCCCACCGCAAGTCCAGCAGCAGGCTAAAGGTGCAGGAAGCACCGGGACACAGGTGCAGGGCACTGCCAGGGCTGAGGAGGCCTCTGACCACGAGGGTAAGTCTGGGGCCCAGGACGGCAGCGTTTCGGAGATGATGGCACCGCCATGTTGGAGGAGCAGGCTGATGATGGTAGAATCTGACAGGCGCCCACAGGGATGCATAGATCGGAGACGTGCCGCAGCGGCCTCAGGCCGAAGCAAAGCCCAGCGCAGCTCACGGATGAGTCTTTGTCCTGCGTCGGACTGGAGCCAGGCTGTGAGGGAAGAAGATGAATTACGGAGTGGCGGTCGGTCATCAACCTGACCTTCCCCGGGCATATCGCCGTCAGCAGCTGGCAGAGCAGCACGGCACAAAGCTAGCCAAGTGGTAGTGCGTGCCTGGTAAGCCTGCCGAAGTTTCCGGAGGCCGAGCAGCAGGCACTGCGTGAGGCGTACCGCGGGAAGAATGGCAGTCCGACTCTTGGACAAGAGCTGGAGTTCATGCTGCAAGGCCCCCGGCTGGCGAAGGGTGGCATAGAGCTCGAGCTCTGCTTGTCGCAGGCTGTCTGCCTCGAGGGGGGACAGGTTGCACAGCGATACCCCCAGGAAGCGGGGGATGACACCCCGGTACGCCAGATCACTACCTCTTTCCCGGTTGGTGGCGACTCTGCTGCTGCCGGCCACATCGGTGGAAAGATTGGCTTCCCAGCCCGGAAGGGGAACGAGCCAACGCCAAGCTGAGAGCACTGGCCAACGCACCGCAGCTCCATCGGAGCAGGGAGGAGGAAGGGATGTTGGAGCAGTGGAATGCAGGCGTTGGCGCCACGTGTGGGCGGCAGCTTGTAGGGCGGGAAGCGGCTGGATTGCTTGGAGCTCTGCCTCTACGTCATCACGCAGGATGTCTACTAATGGAGCCATTGCGGGGCAGGCCATGACGGTTTAGGGTTTAGGGTTTAGGGTTTAGGGTTTAGGGTTTAGGGTTTGGGGTTTAGGGTTTAGGGTTTAGGGTTTAGGGGTCTAGGGTTTAGGGTTTAGGGTTTTTTATCGTTTAGGGTTTAGGGTTTAGGGTTTAGGCTTAGGGGTTAGGGTTTAGGGTTTAGGGTCTAGGGTGTTTAAGTACTGAAGGCTCCTTAGGGTGCAGGCTTTCGGGGCGATAGGGAATGGCATTCGTCCCTGTAGCACAAGCATAGCTGTAGCCAGAGCACGGACGCCAGCCAGGCTCATTGACCACATTTCGAAGCCTGCACGGTTAGGGTTTAGGGTTTAGGGTTTAGGGTTTAGGGTTTAGGGTTTAGGGTTTAGGGTTTAGGGTTTAGGGTTTAGGGTTCAGGGTTTAGGGTTCAGGGTTCAGGGTTTAGGGTTCCGGGTTTAGGGCTTAGGGTTTAAGAGATTTGGGTTTTGGTTTTAGGGCCTAGGGCTTAGGGGGACCAATTCAGTGAATCCAGCAAGTCACCGACTCCGCATCTCTGCCCTGCGCGGCAGGGCAGAGTCAGTGATTTGCGGGCTTCAGTGAACTGGAAGCCCTGAACCCTAAACCCTAAACCCTAAACCCTAAACCCTAAACCCTAAACCCCAAACCCCAAACCCCTAAACCGCAATCTGTTTAGGGTTTAAGGTGCTTAAAGCTAAGAAAGCTAAGGGCTTAGAGCTCAGGACTTCTCTCGTCTTAAGGCTGCAGGTGCGACATAGCGGGACAAGAGGAGCAGCGCGGAACATCGCCGCACTCTGAAGCTGCGAGGACTGCTGGGTTTAGGGGTTAGGGGTTTAGGGGTTTAGGGGTTTAGGGTTTAGGGTTTAGGGTTTAAGGGTTGAGGTGTTGAGGGGTTTAGGGTTTAGGGTTTGAAGAGTTTCGGGCGGATGCACTAGGAGAGGAACGGTGCTCACACATGGCAGGTCTGGGGCACTTGCTGGGCCTAACCCCTCAACGAGAGAAACCAATGGATAGGACTTGGGGTTTAGGGTTTAGGGTTTCTCTAGGCCCCAAAACCCAAAACCAATGCTTAGGAACTTAGGCCAGGAGAAATAAAATCCTATAAGTCCTGAACTCTCAACCTTCAACCCTGAACCCTGACACTAAACCCTGAACCTCCAAACCTCTACGTAAACCCTAAACCCTAAACCCTGCAAGCATGCCTATGTAGCTACAGAAGATGGTAGCGCTGGTAGCGACCAGAGCGGTCCTGGAAAGATAATTTCGGTCGTGGGGTTCAGGGTCTGGGCTTAGGGTGCAGGTTTGTAAAGGGCTAAGAAGGTCCGTAGGATTCAGGGCTGTAGAGTTGGTCGACTTGATGCCAGTGAGGGAGATATTCCCCTCACAAAGGTCCCTTTAAGCTCTTCTTAGAGGTGATGAGGGTTTAGGGGTTTTTAGGGCTTATCCTTAAGGGCTTCACATTGCTGACATCTTAATATGATGGTCGTTCTTGATCCAGATTTGGCCAGAATTACAGGCTTTGGCAAGGCAAAGGGGATGAAGGTTTGGGGCTGAGGGTCATGAGCGCTTGCGGTTGCCCTTGCGTCCGAGCTGCTTCTTGCCGCATGCACTCTTGCAGCATCGCAACAGATCCTCTGAGAACTACCAGACCTTTCAAACGCCTTAATGCTACAAGTGCGTTCGGTATTGATGTAGAAGACGAGCCGTCCACAAGCGTTCCACCCTAAACCCGAAACCCGAAACCCGAAACCCTAAACCCTAAACCCTAAACCCTACACCCCTAACCCCTAAGCCCCAAACCCTAGCGCCCCGTCCTCCACGCTCCCACCTGCCATTTCTCCAAGGTGCCCTGCTGCGCTTTCCGCTCCAGGTAGATGGAGAACAAGAACCTGCAACTTGAGGTGATCATGGTGTTAGGCTTAGGGTTTAGGGTTTAGGGTTTAGGGTTTAGGGTTTAGGGTTTAGGGTTTAGGGTTTAGGGTTTAGGGTCTAGGGTCTAGGGTCTAGGGTCTAGGGTTTAGGGTTTACGGTTCAGGGTTTAGGGTTTAGGGTTTCGGTCTAATTAGGGTTTAGGGTTTAGGGTCTAGGGTTCAGGGGTTGGGGGTGCACTTCGTTGGATCTTAGGTTCTTGCAGGTTCTTCGAGCCCTAAGTCATAGGGTCGCGTCTACCACTTCTGTACCTCCTGTATACCCTATGCCAACTAAGGGAGCCTACATGAGAACCCTTCAAAGGCGGCTGCTAGGGACCATATCAAAGGCCCATAGAACTACCCCCTAAGATTTCCAGACCCAAGAGTAACCTAGTAATGCCAAAACCCTAAATAAGGGAACCTTACCCCCCCCCCCCCCCCCAAAAAAAAAAAAAAAAAGGAATGAGCATCCGTGTACGGGATGCCAAAACCCTACGTGGGACTCTGTACAGTTTAGTGGGTAAGAGCCATGAAATTGTAGGTAAAGAGAGTCCCAGGTAACCCTAAACCCTAAACCCTAAACCCCAAACCCTAAACCCTAAACCCAGAACTGACGCAGCGAGCGCCTCGCCAAGAACCAGAGGAACTGGATGACCGAGCCAAGGATCACCCAGCGCCAAGAAAGCATGCCAAAAGCCTCGCTTCAACCGAGAGGGGGTGGGGGGGGGGGGGGGGGGGGGGGGGGGGGGGGGGGGGGGGGGGGGGGAGGGGGTTTAGGGTTTAAGGTTTGGGGGGGGGGGGGGGGGGGGGGGGGGGGGGGGAGGGGTCGAGAGAGGGTCGGCTTGAGATCCTACCTAAACCGCAGCTTCCCAGAGGCTGAACGGGTCGACTAAACTGACAGGGTATACCTGTAACCCCAAATAGGTACAGTGTTATGGGCTAGACCTAGAAATTGAAGGGTAGTTGCTACTAAACTGTAGCTATTTGGGGTTCCAGGCAAACCCGCTCTGAATCTAGTCCCATAAGTCGTAGAAACTCTGCAAACCTTCGTCCTGGGGTGTATAGGGTGTACCTGAAGGCTCTGATGTAAGTCTTTTCGGGGTTATACCCTAAACCCTAAACCCTACGTACTACATTGGGTAGGCTGAGGGAGCAATTTCTTACACTGTAGGGTTTGGCATGTTGCCAGCGTTCCGGCTAAGCTAGCCCCCCCCCCCCCCCGGCTCTCCCCCCCGAAACCACCGCCTTCATGTCGTTGATGTGCACCTCTACCTGGCAGCATGCTCGACTTTGTCGGGTTTGGGGTTTAGGGTTTAGGGTTTAGAGTGGGTGGGAGGTGCTTAAACTCCTAAACAGGTTGGGCTTCGAGTCTTTGGGGCCCCAAAGCGCTAAAGAGGTTATGAAATGCTTCCGGCTGCATCAGGCTCGCAGAGGCTGGGCTCTTTGGGGTTTATGGAGACTATGGGGAGCATCAGCAACATCCCCCAGATGAGCGGCTGCAGGTGCCTTTGACTCTTCAGCAACTCTGAAGCCTAAACCCTAAACCAGAAGTTAAGCCTAAACCCTAAACCCTAAACCCTAAACACTAAACCCTAAACCCTAAACCCTACGTGCTACATTGCAAGTGATGCGCATCCAGCGTCTCCGCAGTCTCTACGTCTGGATTCAGCTCCACATGGCCTCACAGGGCTTAAGGGTTATCGGGTCTAGGGTTGACAGGTAAGGCTTTAGGGTTGAGGTTTAGGGTTTAGGGTTTAGGGTTTAGGGTTTAGGGTTTAGGGTTTAGGGTTTAGGGTTTAGGGTTTGGGATTAGGGATTAGGGTTTGGGGTTTAGGGGTCTTGGGTATCAGTCCAACTTCGCAAGTCTAGGGACCCCTCGGAAACTCGGGACCCCTCGGAAACTCGACTCACCTGGTGACGAATTGAACCCTCACATGGCAATCAGCTTCATGGCCTCCTCGCAGTAAGAAACCCTAAACCCTAAACCCTACACCCTAAACCCTACACCCTAAACCGAAAACGGAGGGAATATGGACAACACACCCGGCAAGCAGCTGAGCTGTCCAGCTGAAGCGATGGTTTCATGATGCGAATGCTTCGGTGCATGAGGAGCTTCGTAAGGCTAAGTTTGGTGGTGCTGAAGCTGACCAGTGAACCTTAAACCCTAAACCCTAAACCCTAAGCCCTAAGCCCTAAGCCCTAAACCCTAAACCCTAATCCCGAAAAGCTAAACCCTAAACCCTAAACCCTAAACCCTAAACCCTAAACCCTAAACCCCAACCCTGAAGGCCCTAAAAACTAAACCCTAAACGACCTTTGGATCTGTTCTTTTCGGAACGAGGGCCCCTTCAAGGAGACATCCCAAGCCAAAAGCCGCTTAACAAGGGCCACGCAAAATACTAAATTGCATAAGAACCCCCCCCCCCCCCCCCAGGGTTTAGGGCCAGTTTAGGGTTTAGGGTTTAGGGTTTAGGGTTTAGGGTTTAGGGTTTAGGGTTTAGGGTTTAGGGTGTAGGTTTTCCCCAACCCCCCGCCCCCCCCCACACCAACACAAAACATCTTGCTGATAAGGGCAATATCCGGATAACGTTCCTTCTTTTTGGTTGTTTCCTCAGCAACTTGCAGAAAAAGGGGTTCTTCCTACCCAACGGAAACTATGTTGTACAGTATATCATATGACAGCAAATTATGTAACTCATTAAGCCCCAAGAAGTGTCCTGACATCTCGATCAGGACGTCCCTGGTCTCGTAGTTGTAGATCACCACGTGCCTGCAAAGAATGGAACGCGTGGGAGAACCAGAGCATGCGTCGCGAAGAGCCAGGGAGTAGAATCTAGGGATGATTCAGGGTTGTGCGTGGGACCACCCACTCACTTTACGTGTCTCCGGTTCCATACCCTCCAGCCCTAAACCCCTCACAGTTGATTGTGAAAAAGGCTTCCTGGCCACTTAGGGTTTAGGGTTTAGGGTTCAGGGTTCAGGGTTTAGGGTTTAGTGTAGTTGTGAGGCAGCAGAGCGGATTCTGCGAAAAGTATCCTAATTACCGGCACCCTGCCCAACTTCTCCCCAACCCAAGATAAGGCCCGAGCATTCCTTGCTTTCTAGCCTGACAACCCTGTGAAAAAATGCGAAATTCTTTTCCGTCTTAAACCCAATGAAGGAAAAATATCCCAAGGGCCTACCTAGCTTGGGGTTGGCTAGTAAGGTTTAGGTTTGGGGAAACCCTAAGCCCCAAGCCCTAAACCCTAAACCCTAAGACCTCAACCTAAGCCCTATAAGCCCTAAGCCCTAAACCCTGAACCCGAAACCCTAAACCCGAAACCCTAAACTCTACACCCGAAACCCTAAACCGTAAACGCGCGGCCTCAGCTTTCCGTCCACTTTGGATATCTCGATCCGTTCTGTGGGCCGCAGCTCGATGGAGTCTGGACCGATCTTGGTCCAGTATCCTTGCTGTAGCCGAGTTAGGGTTTAGGGTTTAGGGCTTAGGGTTTAGGGTTGGGGGTTTGGGTTTTAGGGTTTTAGGGCTTAGGTTTAGGCGTTTTACGGATTTACTGTTTTGCGGTTTTAGGGCTTCAGGGTTAAGGGTTTAGAGTACTAGCTAAGGTTTTAGGGGTCGTCGGGTACGGTTTTAGGGTTTAGGGTTTCGGGTGTTAGGGTTTAGGGTTTGGGGTCAATGGCGTGGCTTTAAAGTGTCGACTTTCCGTGCCAAGGTTTTGGGCTCAGGGCTATTAAGACCTAAAGCCCAAGCCCCACAGTCTAAACCCCAAAGCCTACAGGGTGGGGCCCCCTTACTATACTAACTGTAGTTAAGGGACTTATAACCTAACTTAGGGTCCTTATAACCCAATTTAGGGCCCTTATAACTCTACTTATAACTAGGGGGCCCCACCCTGTACCCCCCATAAGTATCAAGGTTAACGGTCCACTACAAGCACACAGCGCCTGGCTCAGAATCCTGGGGCCAAGTGACTGCGGACGCCTGCGCCGATTTTCCGGCCGAAGGCGCTGATCCCTGGAAGATTTAGGGTATAGGTTAGGGATAGGGCCTTAAACCCTTGCACCCTAGAAGGCCCTAAACCGTAACCCCTAAACCCTAAACCCTGAACTTCCTAAACCCTGATTAGCCACCTTCCGAAACCTTGCACCCTAATTAGACACGAACGCGAACGCAGGCCTGGAGACAGGCCGCCACATCATAGACCCCACTCCCCGCTCCCACAAGTAGGGGGTTTTAGGATTTGGGGTTGAGGGACCCCAAAACCCTAAACCCTAAACCCCACACCCTAAACCCCAACCCCCAAACCCTAAACCCTAGACCCTAAACCCCAAACCCTAAACCCTAAACCCCAAACCCTAAACCCTAAACCCTTTTTTTGGGCCTCGCGATGCGCTGGGCGGTTGCCATGTGAAGACCTGCTCATCCTCTTCGTCGAATGCCTGGACCTGCTTGTCGCGGTTTAGGGTTTAGGGTTTAGGGTTTAGGGTTTAGGGTTTAGGGTTTAGGGTTTAGGGTTTAGGGTTTAGGGTTTAGGGTTTAGGGTTTAGGGCTTAAGCTTTAGGGTTGAGGGTTTGGGGTTTGGGGTTTAGGGTTGCCCTACTACCCCTCCCATCCCCCCCTTAGGTTCCTCCTTAAATGACCTTAAGTAGGCTTCATTAACCCTTTAACCCTTAACCCTAAACCCTCCACCCTCTGGCCTGAATTTTGGGAGGAACCTAGCCGGGGAGCAGCATAGAGGGGGTGTAGTAGGGGCCATCGCCCCTGTCAGGGTGCAAGTCTCTTTCGGAACCACCCGAGGGGGAGGAGGGGCCTTGACTTGTAGCGACGGGCGGAACCCCTGAGCCCCTAAGCTGCGTAAACCCTAGTGTAATTTAGGGTTTGGGGTTTGGGGTTTGGGGTTTGGGCTGCCCTGATGGCATTCTCCTTCATATCCTTTATGAAAAACCTCATACGAGGATTTTCGGCCATAACCAGCCATCGAGCATAATCGATCAGGGCATGCCGAACGCCTAAGGCATTCGGCAAACGTGTTCCTTTTGCTTGCTTGTACGAGGATTTTCCACATAGGGGTAGTCGCGCATGAGCTCGTGAAAAATGGCGCCTGGGATGATCTGGGCGTGCGAGGTTGCCACTCCAATTCAAAGGGAGTTTGCTATCCACCTCATCATCTTCGACCGCGTCTCGAAGTGAAAATGGCCATACTGCCGCAGACTGCCGGAACGCACTTGCAAGATCGGACATGTCCAGCGCGGCCAACCCGTTTAGGATTTAGGGTTTAGAGTTTAGGGCTGTCGCTAAGGTGAACTCCCTCCATGGCACCTTCCCCAAAACCGAGTCCCTAGACCTGAGGCCCCACCAAATCCGGAATCCTAGAACGCCGAACCCCAAGGGTCCATGTACCCAAAGAGGGAATACTTGCGCTTTAAGGTGCCTCCTATTTAGGGACTTCAGGGCCCAAGTGTCTCATAATAAGGTACATGGACCCCTCGGGGAAGCTCACAAAATAGTGAGCACAGTTGTTTCCAGACCATCTAAGTGGACGGGCGAGAAGAGTAGAATAGTCATAACAATCACTCATCCACACACGCACACACCTACACTTGTTAAACCTCTGGCACGAATCCCAAAGCCTCCTAACCCTAAACCCTAAACCCTAAACCCTAAACCCTAAACCCTAAACCCTAAACCCTCGAGCACTTCCTAGATGCAGCTCTACCGACCTTTGCCATCGCTGGATTTTAGCGGGCCTTCACACGCTGGTCTTCCCGCCCTTTGGTCAGGATGTGGAAAAGACGCCTGGGGCTTGGAGTTTAGGTTTGGAGTTTAAGGTTTGGGGTTTGAGGTCTATGGGGTGGGGTGTAAGGCTTTGGGGCCTGAACCCGACCCCAAGACCAAATCAAAGCTCGAAACAACTCTTGCCCAAAGAGGGTATGGAAACACCAAACCCTAAACCAGGCGTTGGCAGTAAGGATTAAGGGCTCGAGCGGTTGCACAAGCGAGCGTTTAGGTTGTTGGGGCTTTGGGTTTAGGATTGAGGGTTTAGGGAAGAAACATAATTGGTCACAAGGATCAAAACTACATAATGGGCTTGGGTTTAGGCTTGAGGCTTCGGGTTTTGCCTTAGGGCTAAAGGTCTGAGGGTTGAAGGGCTTCGGGGGCGACCCTCAACCCCAACCCCTAAACCCCAAACCCTAAACCCTAAAGTGCTTAGGGCTCAAGGGGCTCCGCAGTTGGGGGACCAGGCAGTTTGGAGGCTTAGGGTTTGGGGTTTAGCATGTCAAAACCCAAAACCCTAAACGCTACACCCTGGGTTTAGGGTGCGGGGGCTTGCTCCCCCTAAACCCTAACCCTAAACCCTAAACCCTAAACCCTAAACCCTAAACCCTAAACCCTAAACCCTAAACCCTTCTGAGAGCCCAACCCCCCCGCCGCCAGCCGGCGATGCGCCAGGACTGGGTGAGAGAATTAGGGTTTAGGGTTTAGGGTTTAGGGTTGGCTTAGCATGGTGCCACCGACACCCCTGAACCCGACATCCAAAACTCTCTCATCCCTAATATACACCCACAACTCTAAACCCTGAACCAGTTTAGCTGGGTTCATCCAAGTCGTGAGGTTGAAGGCTCAGGGTTTCGGATTTTAGGGCTTGAGGTAGGGTTCGGTCCAGCCCCTGGTAGGCCCTACAATTATCGCGGCCCAGCCAATTTCTAAATGTGGTATTAAACTCCTAGACCACAAGTGTCCATGCCATTTTCATCCCGGGCCCGGGCAGGGTACATAGGCCGGCCATACCACTATACTCCTCAAGGCAAGTGGAACACAAGCCCTTGAAGGGTTCCTTTCTACTCCCTCTTACAGGTTGTATAGGGAAATGTTGGGGTACTTAGTTCCCTCTACTTCCCTGGTTGGAATCGGCAAGTTGTTGCAGTAGGCTATCGAAGTGGCGGGTCGTTATTCTTTGCACTGTGTGGAGGGGCATGGCTGAATCCCTAAACCCGTTTCTTCATCAACATTAGTGGGGTATTACGAATAGGGCCCCTGTATAGCCCTAAACCTAAACCCTAAATCCTCTGTGTATATATGTATATACATAACCATGCGTATATGCAGAGTTGTTGTTTTTCACATTAACGCTTTTACGGGATCACCTTCGTCCGCAGCGCCACCATCGCCAACGATAATCAAGCAGTGGTCCTACAAGGCGGGCGCACCGGAAAACTGGAGCTGGTTATCAACGGTCTTTAAGGATGCATCCCAAGAGGGTTTATGGTTCATATACCCTCATAGGGGTTATAGAGCTGGTTTTCAACGGTCTTTAAGGATGCATGCCAAGAGGGTTTATGGTTCATATACCCTCATAGGGGTTATAGTAGTATCGGGTATATGACCCCAATTTTAGGGTTGACTTGGTCCCCTCAAACCTCATTGGGTTAAGGGTTTGGGGCTGACGGTGCTTGTGAACAAGCCCAACAAAATGCGGCACGGCCAAAGCCCCGCGTCCAACCTGTTTGTGAGTCTCGCGCCCGACACCCGGTGATGTAGGATGCGTCCACCCCACCATCAGAAGGCAGAGAGCAAGGCGGCCGTAGGGCGAACCCCCGACACCTGCAGGAGTCCCCGGCGTCCCGCAAGACCTCCAGCCCCATGCTTGCCGATGGGCCGTAGCAGCGTGTGCTACTTTACAAGCTACGCGCAAGAAGCTTGACGGACCCAAGCGGAGGTCAGAGGAAGCTCGACGAGCCCAAGCAGAGGTCAGGTGCGAAAAGGGCCAGGCAGGCCGGGCACAGAGGGCAAGCAAGATAAGCAAGGGCAGAGGTCTGCTCTGTCACGGGCGCCCAGCTTGGGAGCATTCGGGATCACGGGTTTTGCAGCGGAGTGGAGGCGGACTGCGCGCCATCGGGCAGGCGGCGCAAGACGGCACGGGCGTTCTCACGCTGGAGCGTGACGCTGAGGCACTGCAAAAGCTGCTCGGTGGCCGCGCCCGATCCATCACCGGACTTAGCGGCCAGGAGCGCCCCGAGTGTGCGCCAGACTTTGATTGCTTCACGTCCCCAGCCACCACAGGATGATTCCGCAATGAGGGGGAGGAACTGCAGCCCCTGGTCTCGGCAGAGGGCTGCCGTGTTAAGATGGGAACGCTTGCGTTCCTCGTAAGCCGCACAAGTGTGAGAGCCATCTGCAGCAGAGGCGGCAGCTGCCCCACATCGCAAGCCGCTCGTGACGGCAAGGTCGAACACTGCAGGCCCGTGCAACCCCCAATGAGGCACAAAGACATCGGCTGGTCGGCGGCCACCCCCGACGGACTCCCAACTGCGCCTGCCTCACAGGCTCCAAGTTCAGCAGGGCGGGCGGGGAGGAGGTTTGGCTTTTCAATCTCAGGGGATAAGCCTGCAGCATGAGCCCGCTCGGCGAGAACCGCGCGGAGCCGGTTGTGGCGCTTGCAGCGGTCTCCCCCACATGGGCACACGCGGGCGTGGTCTCCAAACCGGTCAGCCACTCCATCGCAGAACGGGCAGTAGCCCTCGGACGGTGCAACAGGGAGGCGAAGGCGGAGGTGGAGCAAAACGCGGAAGAAAGCCGGCTCAAGGGCCAGACCGAGGGCTTCGGCTGGGCGGGCTAGCAGCCAGGCACCGGCTCCTGGTTGCTGCAGCAACTGCAAGTGCGCACGGTCAGCCTCGCCCGCGCTAGAGGCAATCAAGGCCTGCCGTTCAGCGGCATCAATGGCGCTTGACAACTCTTGCTGCCTAACGGGCACAGGCTGAGGGGGGAGCGCAGCATCAGGGGCCACCGTCGCATTGTATTGGGCTGCCGGGTGGGCGAGGTCCAAAACGTACTGATGCGACAGCGCAGCACAAGCTTCCGAGCACGAGGAGGCGGAGGCAATGTATGCTGCGGGGGCGTGTTTGGCCGCGCTGCGCAGCCCCAAACCGCCGGCAGCAACTCTCAAGGTCGCCTGCTGCCAAGCGCGATCAGTGAGTTGGAGCCCCCCGATTAGTTCGAGCGAGGCTCGAACGCGACTGTCAAATTCTTGCAAGGCATCTGCATGGGCCGCCGGCGGGGTCACCCGCATGGAATAGGCCAACTTAGTGTAGGAAGCACAATGCCTAAGTAGGAGGAGCGCGGTTTGCGAGTCCGGTAGCTCAGCAAGGGCGTTCAGACAAGCTTGCGCGTGGGTCACGCAGTGTTGGTTGCAGAAAGAGAGACCCCCTATGGGCGCACCAAGGAGCTCGAATTCGCCGACACGGCGTACCAGGCCCGGCGGCAGGGCGCGGAGGTCAGGGCTGCAGGCGGCGCCAGGAAGGACAACTTCAGACTTGGTGGGCTCGAGGATAAGGCCGGCCTGGCCGGCAACCTCACAGAGATCACGCAAGGCCTTCGCCACGTCAGCAGGGCTGCCAGCTAACACGACGTCATCCAAGTACGCGAAGCACAAGTCCAGGCGCGCCGCTGCAGCGGCCGCTGCAAGGGCTGGTTGAAGGGCCAAGGCAAACAGAAGGGGACCTAGAGGGTCGCCCTGTTGCACCCCAGATGTGGAAGCGACGACGTGCTTTCCAAAACGGAGCCGGGAGCTCTGTCCATAACACCAGTCGGCCCAAGAAGAAACCTCCGGAACTCGGGCGCGGGCCTCCCGGAGAACGGACGCGCGAGACACTGCATTAAAGGCATTGCGGAAGTCAAGCTTGACCAGGACGCGGTTTTCATGCCCAGAATGGCTTTGCAGCCAGTGTCGCGCAGCGTGCACGGCAGCTTCGCTTCCTGAGGGCACACCTACACCGACTTGCAAGGGCCAAAGCTGGTCACGAGCGGCCTCGCGAACGCTCCCACACAACAGTTTCCCGACCAACCTGCGCAAAACTTCCCCAATGGCGATAGGCCGCACGCCCCCCTGAGGCTTGGGCAAGGCGTGCAGCGTAGCCCCGGCCAAGTGAGGGGCAAGGGTAGCGGGGGCCTCTCCCCTCGCCAAGAGGTGGCATAAGGCCGCAAGATGCACAGCAACCTCGTCTGCGTGAGCAGTGGACAAGCTTTCACGAAGGTGGTCGGGCCTAAGCCCCGACGGCCCTGGGGCCGAAGCACGCTTAAAGCTTCTCACTGCCTTGGCAACAGCCTCTGCGCTGAACTCAGGCACAGCGCCCGGACGAGGCGCGCCCAAAGCAGCAAGGTCTGGCAGTGGGCTTTGAGGGTGTTTGGCCTGCAGAGCAGCGAGGGTGGCAGCATCACGGGGTAGAGGCGGCTCCTGGAGCAGAGCGTCACACGCTCGAGCTAGATCACCCTCAGCGGCAAGGCGGCGGCAACGGGAGTGGCGGGCCTCAAGGGACAGGCGAGTCGGACCGCTACGTTGGCGTGGCTCAAACACACATTCCTCCCACAGCTCAACCCTCTCACCATCGAGCCAGCGCAAGCAGCGCCGCTTGGTGGCTTGCCCCAATTGGGCTCGGTGGCGAGCCCCACCACGGAGAGGAGCGACAAGCACGGCTTTGGGGAGCATCAATAATTCCAACCAAGCGGCAGGGGTGTTGCGTGCTACTGTTGAGGCAATAGCGCGAGCCAGACATTGGGCCCAGGCCGCACGGGCAACCTTAGGGACATGCCGCACGGTAGGAACCTCTGCCGCCAGCACGTCAGCAAAGTTCGGAAGAGGGTCGGCGGCAGACGCTGCAGGAGGCACGGCGCCCGGACGGGCGGCTTGAGCACGCGAGTCAGGCCGACAGCGGGGGTGGGACCCATTATAGTACCGCTTAACCAACAAACCACAAACCGTGCAAGTGTCGAGGCTGTGTGCATCAAGGTACTCCTGCGGGACGGCCCCTGACAACTGGCCTGAGCAGTGGTCATCGAGATGATGTCGCATTGCAGGGTGAGAGCCCCAGCCCCGGGAGCGCAAGGGATCCCCCAAGCCGCACCCAGGCACAGGGCAAAAGCAGCGCACAGCAGCCTCAGGTGCGTGGACGCGGCGACGCAGGGCCGCGGGCTCGGCAGAAGGAGGTGAGTGATCCCGGTCCGGGGAGGGGCCCGGAAGCGAGGCCTCACCAACGCGGACTGCGCAGTACCCGCAACGGCGGCGCAGTTTGCGCTGGCCCCAGTTGCGGCGCTGTTTTTCAAACAACCGCTTGCAACGGCGACCCCACACGGGAGAGGCACGATGACCGAAGCCCGCTAAGGGGTCCCAACAGGCCGCAGAAGCGTGCTCAAGCGAAGTGACCGGATGAAGACAGCAATGACGTCGACGCTCGCAGCGCCGAATCGATGCAGGGAGATGGAGAACAGGCCGGAGCGACCGCGCAGGGCCAACCTCCAGCTCACCAGTGTGCACGAATGTATGGCACAATGCAGTCTGCGCTGGCCACGCAAGCCCCAACACCAGTAACCGCAGAAGGCGAAGAACGCCGGGGGACGGAGCCATGGCCGGACAACTCACTCAGGAGGGTGCGAATGAGAATGCCGACCAATGGCGGCAAAGCAGACTTCCCGGGCAGGCAGGACACAAGGAAACAAAAGGCAGAGCCGGGCTGTCTCAACCCACAAGGGAGGAACCGGATGCCACACGCTATGGCTCGAGCGGCTGCTACTGAGTGCCCCCCAGCTGCGTACGAAACACGCCCAGGAGCAGCACCAGGCCCCCCAGCTGCGCACGACGGCGCCCAGGCGAGGGCCCTAATCCCCTGACTCTACACCCGAATTGGTCCCCAGGGGTGTTGAGGCTTCGGGCAAAGAGGTTAGGGTTGAGGAGTTCAAGGCGCCAGCCCCGAACCCCCGGTACTTGACCAGGGCCCGTATGATGTTAGTTTCATTCTTTCGGATCGACTCAGATGGCATGCAAAACGCATAATGCTACTAGAGAAAAGGGACCAACAATGCAGGGCCCAGGTGCACTATGCTTCCAGAAGTGCCTTGGCGTTTCAGGGCCCTGAACCCATCATATTGCCCCAAACCCTAGCCGTTCCTAAACCCTAAACCCTAAACCCTAAACCCTAAACCTGAAACCGTTGCTCAAGGGATGCTCAGGGCTTTAGGGGCATGAGGGGCGTTCCGGTTCCAGCTTTTGGGGTTTTTTAGGGGGTCCGTAAAGAAGGTTGCGTTTAGGGTTTAGGATATATAGGGCATATAGGATATTTAGGGGTTAGGATATATAGGGCATGTAGGATATTTAGGGTTTAGGGTATTGAGGATTTTGGGTGGGTTTAGGCAAAGTGGGGGGTGGTGTAGCCCACAAGGCTATGCTCCCGTGGCCCGACAAAGGCCACCACCTAACAGACGCGCGTGCAGGCCTTGTCCCCGCTTTCGGGCACCGAAATTCCGAAACCCGAAATCGTGAAACGCCAGACCTCGAAGCTCATGTCGGGCTGAGGCTGTCAATCCCTGAACCCTAAACCCTAAACCCTAAATACTAAACCCTAAACCCTAAACCCTAAACCCTAAAGCCCTCAACCCCGGAAGCGGCTCCGACGGTTACACAGGACCCTCAGCCCCAAACCCACCACATTGTAGGACTGCCCTTAGCATCCTCTGAAAAAATGCTCCTGAATATGAGCCTCTTAAACCCAATAAGGGTTTAGGGTTTAGGGTTTAGGGTCTAGGGTTTAGTGTTTAGGGTGTAGGGTTTAGGGTTCAGGGTTTCGGGAAAATATCCAATGTCCCAGGGGCCTACCGAGTACGGCCTTTGGGGAAGGGAGCGCAGGGGAGGTCGATGAATGCTATGGTTTCAGGCTTTCACAACGGTTTAGGGTTTATAAGGTTTAAGGTTCAGGGTTTAGGGTTTATAAGGTTTAGGGTTTAGGGTTTAGGGTCTAGGGTCTAGGGTTTAGGGTTTAGGGTTTCATAAGGTTTTGGGTTTAGCGTTTCATAAGGTTTAGGGTTTAGGGTTTCATAAGGTTTAGGGTTCAGGGGGCAACTGCAGGGGCTGGCAGTCCTTATACCTCTGCGAGTCCATACGCTAAGCCTGACGGCTTGTTCTGGCTTTTGAGTGTTTTTGTTGGGGTCTTTTGGCCCTTGGGGTTGGGAGGTTCCCCCCCTTGTGCTGGATTAGGGTTTAGGGTTTAGGGTTTAGGGTTTAGGGTTTAGGGTTTAGGGTTTAGGGTTTAGGGTTTAGGGTTTAGGGTTTAGGGCAACAGAGGCCTTGGTACGGATTATAGTACCCCCCCCCCCCTATTATAATCCCTACTAAGGACTGCTAGCATAAGGGGCAACATCCCAACTCTCCGGGTTTTAGGGCTTAAGGGGGGGGGGGGGGGGGGGGGGGGGGTGGGGGAGGGGTGTTGTTGAGGCATGCACAGGGCTTTTAAATAACACTAATAACACACATACAAAAAAATCATCAACGCAACGGAATGAGTTCACGATGTGCTTGAGGAACTGGGGGAGGGGGGGGGGGGTTGGGGATCAAAAAGCGCCTTACTGGTTTGTGTCTTTTGAGAAATTTTCGTGGGCTTGTTCGCAGACTGGGAATCTGGTCTTCAGGGGTTTGTCTTTTTGGCAGGGGAGGGGTGGGGGTGTAGGGTTTATGGTGTTGGGCTTTAGGGGTGTAGGCGGGCTTGGGAATTGGGATTAGGGATCCAAGGACGCAGGATTTTGCGATTTTGGTGCTTTGGGGTTTTCGGGCTTTGGGTTTTCTTGGGATGTTCCCCCTTATACTAGCAGTCCTTAATAGGGAGTAAAGTCCACGCCTTTCCGAACGGTTTAGGGTTTAGGGTTTAGGGTTTAGGGTTTGGGGTTTGGGGTTTGGGGTTTGGGGTTTGGGGTTTGGGGTTTGGGGTTTGGGGTTTGGGGTTTGGGGTTTGGGGTTTGGGGTTTGGGGTTTGGGGTTTAGGGTTTAGGGTTCAGGGTGAACCTCCAGCTCATGCAGTCTCAACCCCCGCCCCCCCAAAGCTAATCAAAAGGAAACCTTGGTAGCCCTGTGACCATCTTGTAATAAGGGTACCCTTTTGTTGGGGTTGGTAACTTTACAAGCGAACCTCCAAAAAAAGTAACAGGGCACCACTGGGCAACCAAGAAACCCTTAATCCCAAACTTGAAGGAAAAGGGAGCCTCCGAAACAGACTCTCGCTGTCGACAAGCGTCGTCGTCTCTGCGACTGCCGGGATGCTTCGCTTAGGGTGGGACATATGGGTTTAGGGTTTAAGGTTTAGGGTTTCGGGTTTCGGGTTAAGGTTTTGGTCACCCCCGACACACGCCCAGCAATATTTAGAAGGAACCCGATCTACATCCGCCCGCAAACCATACTCAAAGCCCCACCTCATGATATGGCCCGGCGCCTCTGGAACCCTAAACCCTAAACCTGGAACCTGTTCAGGGTTTAGGGTTTAGGGTTTAGGGTTTAGGGTTTAGGGGCACATTCTTAGCTGGTCCCTGTGTCCAACCTTCGACGAACCGTCAAGCCTGGCCGCTGCCAGTGAGCTTAAACCCTAAACCCTAAACCCCAAACTCTACACCCCAAAACCCTAAACCCTAAACCCTAAACCCCAAACTCTACACCCCAAAACCCTAAACCCTAAACCCCAAACTCTACACCCCAAGACCCTAAACTGCAGGAGGGTAGGTCCCTTTACGCAGTATTTTCCTCCAGGATTATAGGCTTGAATGCCAGTGCTGCGCCGTGACATTGCAGGAAAAACGGTGGGGCCCTTCACCTTAACACTGCGGTAGGGTTGAGCTTAGCATAGTGGAAGCGAGACCAATATGGTGACATTTGGGCCTTTTGGTCTTGCGTTTTTTGCGGTTTCAGGTGTAAGGATTCCAACACGAATTTGGGCTTAAAGCTCAAGCGCAAAGCGCAACAACAAGAAGCCCTAAGCTTCGATTGCCCTGTAGTCTTAGTAGTTACATGGTCCTTTAGCATGGGCCCTTACATGTGGACGCCTTTTCTACCCCTTATGTACCCCGGAGAACCCGAGGACTCATAACACCCCGTAAAGAAGGTAAGGGACCATAATATAAATGGCCCACAGAATTACCGTTCAGAAAGCCCAAATAGAAAGAAACCCTATGATTCGATTGCCTAAACCCTAAACCCTAAACCCTAAACCCTGAACCCTTCAGGCAGACGTAGCTGTCCTTGTAACCCTAACCCTAAGCTCCCAGAATGCCCTCCTCGGCTGTTATCTCACCTTCCTCTTCTCATGCCCCCCACAACCCCACTGGGATGTTCATGGTACTTATCAACCAATGGGGTTTAGGGTCTAGGGTTCAGGGTTTAGGGTTTAGGGTTTAGGGTAACTGTACTTCTAACTGTACTGATCACCATATTGGGGCACTTGAGGGGCTTATAAGTGGGTTCTAAATACAGTTAGAACTGGTTCCTAAGTACCATGGACCTCCTAGCTCAAACCCTAGCCAAAAGTCGCGTGCAGGCCTTCTGCGGAAGGGCCGCGGCTCAAACGCTCGGAGACGGCCCAGCTAGCAGCAGATTAAGAAAAGAGAATTGTGGTGCTGCCACGTGCCTCTGGCATTCAAGCGGCCGCGCCAGAAAAGGGGGGGAGCTAGGGCTTACAGGGTGTACAGTTAAGGTTTAAGGTTTAGGGTTTAGGGTTCAGGGTTCAGGGGTTCAGGGTTCACGGTTCAGGGTTTAGGGTTTAGGGTTTAGGGTTTTTAAGTCTTGGGGGGGCCTTTCTGACTTGCTTCGCATGATCGCCTCTAGGGGGCTTTGGTGCGCCAACTTTGCCCTGAACACCCCTATAAACTCCTGAGCCGCTCAGCCCTAATTTAAACCCTAAACCCTAAACCCTAAACCCTAAACCCTAAACCCTAAACCCTGCTCCCTTAATGCCTTGAAAACAGAAGCTGGGAGCCACAGCTTTGCAGTGCTCCAGCCTTGAGCCGAATCTCCGCCGACCATTGGGTTTGGGGTTTAGGGTTTAGGGTTTAGGGCTTAGGGTTTAGGGTTTAGGGTTTAGAGCGTTTTAGGGTTTGGGGTTTTGGGGTTTGGGGGTGATGGGTTCAGGGAATGGGGTTTGGGGTTTAGGGGAAGGGTTCAGGGGGTTAGGGTTTAGGGTTTGCTTTAGGGTTTCGGGTTTAGGGTTTGGGGTTCAGGGTTCAGGGTTTAGGGTTTAATTAGGGTTTAGAGTTTAGGGTTTAGGTCTGACTTGGCGTTTCAGTAGAAATCTCAGGTTCACTATCATTGGCGACCATTGACCCCCCAGAACGCAAGTATTGCCCGAGTGATCTCCAGGGTTTAGGGTTTAGGGTTTAGGGCTAGGGTTTAGGGTTCCCTAGCCTCCCGAACCTCTCTAAACCTACCTAGGCCCTGGATCCCCTAGCCTGTTCTCCTCGGGAACAGCACTGCTCCTAAACCCCAAACCCTCAACCCTAAACCCTATAATCCCTATAACCCTAAACTCCCTATAACCCTAAACCCTAAACCCTCAACCCTAAACCCTATAATCCCTATAACCCTAAACCCTAAACCCTCAACCCTATAATCCCCATAACCCTAAACCCTAAACCCTATAATCCCTATAACCCTAAACCCTATAATCCCTATAACCCTAAACCCTACATCCCTGACGGGGCAGCCCCAAGCCGGTTCTTACCGCGGCTTCGGGGAGGAGTTCCAGTGGAGGCCCTTTGGAGGCTCCCAGCAATGCACCCCTTTGTACTGGGTTTAGGTTTTAGGGTTCAGGGTTTAGGGTTCAGGGTTAGGGTTTAGGGTTTAGGGTTTAGGGTTTAGGGTGTAGGGTTCAGGGTTTGAGGTTTAGGGCTTATAAGTTTAGGGAAATTCTGTCTCGTGCCCACAGAGGAGGTGACGAAACAAAGTCGAATTTAGGGCCTAAACCCTTCAAGGAACTAAAGGGTTGGGGCGGCTTGGTTGCTTAGACTGCCTGGGGCAGGAGATAGAGAGTGCTTGATGACCCTAAACCCTAAACCCTAAACCCTAATAAACCCTAAACCCTAAACCCTAAACCCTAAACCCATCTACTGTCGGGCCTGTCGGGCCACAACTGCACTTTAAGCGCCTAACAGTTCTAGCAATCCCAAAGCTCTTTAGGGTTTAGGGTTTAGGGTTTAGGGTTTAGGGTTTAGGTTTCCCTAAGCTTTGAAGCCCCAAAGCCTAAGCCCTGGACCGCGAACCCACATTCCATTGCCTCCTGAGCCCAAGCATGTTTGTTTTTGCGGGGTTGAGGGTTTAGGGTTTAGGGTTTAGGGTTTAGGGCTTGCAGCCTACGCTCTGGTTTAGGGCTTCGGGCTTAGGTTTTCAGGCTTAGGATGGTTTGTGTCAACCACCAAGACTTACTTCTCCAATAACCAAGGGGAAAAAAAGGTTTAAACTTCACTATTCCTACTAAATAAGGAAACCCAGAACGTTTAAAGTTCAACTGACTATTGGCTGAGTAAGACTCGAGACAGGAGGAACCTAGGAATGGAAAGGGTGCCTTTTTGGTTTTAAGGGGAATATAAGGGAACCCCAACCCTAACAAAAAGGAAATAAGCGCCTACTCCGGGTCCTAGAAAAGTTTAAGGTTCAACTATTGGCTAAGCAAAAAGAGGCCGCAAACCCTAAACAGTAAACCCTAAACCCTAAACCCTAAACCCTAAACCCTAAACCCTAAACCCTAAACCCTAAACCCTAAACCCTAAGAAGAACGTCTGAGGCCACCCCCTTGACGCGGCTGTTTCTCACCATGTCGGAGCTCTGTGCAAGGCAGCATGGCCGTTAACGTTTTGGGTTTAAGGTTTAGGGTTTAGGGTTTAGGGTTTAGGGCTGCTAAAAAGGAGCCTAAACTCAGCTAAGCTGCCAGAACAAGTATCCAAACCTTCACAAGTCCTAAACCCTAGACCCTAAGACCTAAATCCTACAACCCTATAAACCCTACAAACCCTAAACCCTATCAACGAGCACTTAACATTCAACCCATGAACGCTGGACGCGAACTTCTCACTGCGGCTTACCGCAACCAGGGCCGCTGGTCAGCTGGACCTTGTCGGGTGCCGGGCTTC